GGGCTGCCCCCCTGTGCCCAATCCAGGGGCTCATGAATCCAGGTCCAGTTTGTATTATCCATATTTTAAATGACTAGTTGCTGGAGCTGGACAGTCAGAGGGAAACCATGGCCTGGATTTCAGAGTCCCTCTGGACTGCAGCCTCGCTCCTGAGTTCTTTATGTAGCTCTCTGTCCCTTGCCCTGCCTGCCCCATGGTGGGGCTGGAGGCTAGTCCCTCTCCCTACATCCTTAGCATGTCACTTGGATTGGGAGCACTGCAGGGCCAGGCTGGGTCTCCTGGTGTCTGTGCAGCACCTGGTAGCGTGGGGCCTGGATCCTGGCAGGGCTCTGGTCACTCCTGCAATGTGCATGTGTAAGGGTCCCCCCCCACCCCGACTCTGAACTCTGGGGTACAGATGTGAGGACCCACATGAAAGACCCCACCTAAGCTGATATCTTAACAGTTTAGGTTAAAACTTTTCCAAGGCACAAATCCCTTTCCTTGTCCTTGGACTGGTATTGCTGCCACCACCAAGTGATTTACACAAAATATTCACAGAAGGGTCACTTGGAATCCCTATTCCCCCTAAATATACCCCTAAGCCCCTTCACCCCATTTCCTGGGGAAGCTTGAGAATAATATACCAACCAATTGCCTTAGCAATGTGAGCACAGACCAGATCCTTTGTCTTTAGGACACTGAAATCAATCAGGTCCTTAAAAGAATAACTTTATTTATAAAGAAAATAAATAAAAGAACCACACCTGCAAAATCAGGATGGAAGGTAACTTTACAGGGTAATAAAAAGATTAAAACACAGAAGATTCCCCTCTGGGCTCAGCTTCACAGTTACAAAAAAAAGGAATAAAACTACACCTGTAGCATAGGAAAATTCATACAAGCCAAAACAAAAGATAACCTAAAGCATTTCCTTGCCCTACTCAGTTTCTGTGGTTTTAGATGGATTATTCTAGGTATATTTTCAGGAGATGTTGTACCTGCTTGGCTTCTCCCTCTGGAGAGAGAACAAGAACACACTTTCAAATCTGGGGGAGAAAGATATCATCTTTCCTCATTGGTCCTTCTGGTCAGGTGCCAACTAGGTTATTTGAACTCCTTAACCCCTTACAGGTAAGGCAGTCCAGTACAGCAGCCAAGGAGGTATTTTATGCTACTGCATACATAAAGGTTGCTACCCTTCCCTCTATATTCATGACAGCATGTGACACAGCGAGAGCTGTAGCCAGTGCCTGCTTCCCAATCCCCCTGCAGCTCTGATCCCAGCCCAGCAGCAGCTCCTGGGCCCTCTGCGACACAACCCAGCCCTGCCCTGCTGTGGGGCCCTGCCATGGGGCACAACAGCACAGCCCAGCAGCAGGGCACTGTGCTTTGGTTTCACCCTAGGGACCAGAGGGAGTGGCCTGGAGATCCAGAGGCTGTGGAGCTCCTGGGGAGAAGAACTGGTTTGGGTAAGTTTCAGTCCTGCCCCTTCTGGGCCTTCCCACCTCGTCTGTCCCTCGTTAGCCAGGGTGTTGCTGGTTTTAATCCCACATTCTCCGCAGGGCACTCAAGGAACAGCATTGTGGGAGGGTGCCCGCTGTATGCTGAGTTACCTACACAGACTCCTATGTGGGGCTGTTGGCGCACGGTGAGCAAAGACACACGGCCAGCTGCTCCTTCAGCTGCAATCCCAGAGGGGCTGCAGTCACCATAGGCCTTAGAATAGAGCCTGGGGTGCATTGGCCCCCTGGGGGTCTGTGTGGGTGACGCATCCCCCTCTGCTCCTCAGCCCCAGAGGATGAGAGTTGGGTACAGCCCCCGGCTCTTCAGCTCTGGTTGGGAGCTCCAGAGAACCCTTGTTTGATCCCCTAAGGTGGAGCCCATCACGTAAGTGGGGACTTGGCCCCTGCTGATAGGCCATCTGCCATCTGGGCAACACAGGTGATTGAACAGGGGCCCTCCAGAGAAGGGAGCTGGGGCTTGACAGAGTCCTGGCTTCATGGGCCAGGCCCAGAGGGGGACCTCATAACACTGATGGGTGGGGTGCGGGGTGCACAGCTGTGACCATGCACCTAGACACAGCATAGCTTCCCTTTTGGTTGCCCTGGTGGCTGTTCCCTGTGAGAACTCGTGAGTCTGGAGGGGAGGGGGGATCTCACTGTGTGTCTGTGGAGGGGGATCTCGCTGGTGCATGGGGGCTGGGAGGATCTCGCTGTGGGTCTGGGGGCTGGAGGATCTTGCTGTGGGTCTGTGGGGGGGAGGGGGATCTCGCTGTGGGACTGCTGGGAGCTGGAGGATCTCGCTGTGGGTCTGTGGAGGGATCTTGCTGGTGCCTGTGGGCTGGAGGATCTCGCTGTAGGTCAGGGGGGCGATCTTGCTGTGGGTCTGCAGGGGCATGCTGCTCATCCCAATAGGAGGATATAAAGCTCGTTCAAATGACTGCATGGCATCACCTGCTGGGATCTGGCAGGGCCTGGTGGGGTTCACGCAGCACAGCCTCCATCTATAGCCCCTCTCCCTGCCCAGCACCCCTCTCTGCTGCAGGATTTGGGGGGGATCTGGGACTCGACTAGAGAAATGCCACATGTGGGGGGTGGCTAGCAGCAGTTGGAGGTGGCACAAATGCTGCCAGTTGCTTCAGTGGGATTCCTGCAGGCCCTGTCTGTGTAGTGCCAGGCAGGATCAGTGATGGGAGGGCAGGCAGGGCCAAAAAACAGCGTTAGGGAGTGCTGAATCCACTGGGCTGGGGCCCCTTGACAGCACTGGTAGTGGGGCCTGCCATGCTCGGGAGGCCAAAATTCTAATCCAGGGCAGCTGGGGGATGGAGGGTGAGGGCCGCAGAGGGCAGCGAAGCCAGAGAGCATGGGACCGGGGGTACTTCAGGGGTGTGGTATGGGTGGGAAGCTGAGAGGCCGGAGTGTGGGGGAGCAGCACTGTGCTTAAAGGGTGCCATAGAAGCTTGCGTGACCAACATTCAGAGAGCAGAGGCTCATGTTGCTGGATCTGCCTGGGACACGAGTCCCAGGGCTGAGAATGGAACTACAGCCACTGCCCCAAAGCTGCATTAATGACCACTCACGGGGGGTGGCAGTGTACAGCGCCCTTCCGGATTGCTGAGTGCAGCCAGCCTCAAAACCAGCGCCAGGCCAGGCCAGGCCAACCCTCACTTGGCAGCACTTGCTCCACCTCCGGCCCTGAGGAGGCAGCTTTCAGAACAATCTGACTCTGTGTGTGGATTTTAGAGCGCTGGGAAAGATCAGTCCTTAATGAAAAAGCTTTGCTCCTGAGCGAAAGAAGCCCTGTGACACCCCCCCCCCCCCCCATACACACACACTCAGATGGAACTGGCACAGCTGACAAGCTCAGAAATCTGCAGAGGGCAGGACTTGAACTTCCTGCCAACATGTAGGGGCTGAGCATGGCTGTCGCCTGTTGCCATGAGGTGCTCTGTGACTCTAAGGCAGCTGTGTCCTTTCCCCCAGGCAGCTCACGCCTGGGGAACAAGCCAAGGAGAGTGGTTGGAGTGTGGGAAGGAGGACTGCTGGTCGGCAGGGGGCAATCTAACTCTCACCCCACAGCACATTGGAAATGTTGCTTTCCCAAGGGGCAGGAGGTGCCAGACGCCAGCTGTGATCAATAGGAGGCAGGATCAGGGCAATAGTTTGAGCCCCAGGTGGGTGCAAAAAATGTTATAAAAACCATAAACACTTTGCTGTAACATGATAATTTCAGGCGTGTCTTAGAAACCCCGGGCTCAACTTTAGCCTGGATTTGGACCACCTGCCATGAGCATTGCTGAGGCACAGCACATTTCTAGGCAATCGGAGTTTGGATATGGATTTTTGAGCATTCAAAAAAATCAGTTGTTACGCAGTAAGTTTAGTCTGAGCCTTAATTGTAATGGTGCTAGCACCAAGAACAGGAAATTGAGTGCACAGTGCTGAGAGAGATCAACAAGGCAGCGAAGTCTGACAAAATGGGAACAAAGAGGATCTCAGCTACCCACTTAGCAACTGGGAAATGGAACCAAGATTAGGAAAACCATTTCTCAACGTGTTAAGTAGTCGCTTCATGGACTAGCTAAAGCACACACAGAGAGTGGCTGATCTCGCTAACACAGAGGAGTTAATTCAAGAAGTGACAGTAGCAGAGCCACTAAGTTACAGTGACCACACAACAGAATTAGATTTGACACCCTAAGGGGTGGGGAGGACACCAAAAGGTGACCTTGACGCTGAGCTTCAGAAAGGGAAATGTCAATGAAATAAGGAGGCTAATGCAAAGGGAGTAAATCCTTAGCGGTGGCATGAATGCTACTTAAAAAACCTGAGACTCCATCCTTGCAGCCATGTGTGTCCCTGAGTATGTCTAGAATCAGGAAGGCAAGGAGTAAAGCAACAGGGCCAAGTGGCAGGTTCACACAAAACTCCCTCAAAATACAGAAATCTAACTCTGCCTCTTTGCCTTCCAGCACCGGACCTGGCAATGCCGTTTGGCTGCGTCACCCTGGGAGACAAGAAAGATTACAACCAGCCATCTGAGGTGACTGACAGATATGACCTGGGACAGGTCATCAAAACGTGAGTCTGGACCGGATGCTACCCGCCCTCTCCCCCGCACCTCCTGCTGTGCTCTCTCTGTCGTTTACACTCTCCCATCCTTTCTGCAATGTGTGGGAAGTGGGTGGTGTTCCTTTATGGCTCACCTAGATTGAGAGACTGGAATAGTAGATCATCTATAACAGTATCACTGGAGAGACAGAGGTGGCGGATTTACTAAGTGTAAAGGGGGCTAAAATGTAGGACCGGCTGTGCAGCTTACCAGCCCCTACTAACCCCATAGAGAAAGTCCAGGCAAAGAACGCACGTTACAACAAAGCTTAAACTTGTTCTTCATAATAACTTTAAAAACAATACTAGCTGCCTATTTAATTTTAAACAGCAAAAAAAAAAAAAAAAAATCCACTTCCCTTTCCATTTCTTATAAGGAGTCTTGAAGTTTAAATCTCCTCAGTGTAACAGATATGCTTGCTTTGATTTGCTTAGCTCTTGAAGTCCAGGGGCTTCGGGCTGCTGGCCTCATGCTCCCTAGGGACAGCTCTGTCTGCCATTAGGGAATTTTTTCCCAAGAACCTCTTGTAACATTTCACGAACCCCCCCCGGGGTTCACGAACCGCAATTTGGGAACCGCTGCTTTAAGGGCCATCCCCAAGGAGTTCAGCATTGCAGATGACAACAGGGAGTCTGTGGAGAATGCTGTATTAACCTTCATTGCACCATGATCCCCTTCTGACAACAAAAATTACTGCATGACCCTGGGTGAGGGCCAGAGCCCAAGCCCCATCACTCTGGATGGAGTGGGGCCGGAGCCCAAGCCTGAGCCCCGCCACCCCAGCATGGGGGGACAAAGCCCCAGCCCTGCCGCCCCATGCTGAAGCCCTTGGACTTAGGCTTCAGTCCCAGGCTGCAGTGAGTCTAATGCTGGCTCTGGTGACCCCATTAAAATGGGGTCAGGACCCACTTTGGGGTCCCAACCCACAATATGACAACCACTGCAGCATCTCTACAGTTACTTACATTTAGAAGATAATAAATGAAGGGTTATTTGGATTTCTTTCCAATGGGAAGGGTAAGATATAAAATGGAGCTGGATCGAGGCTCTGCTGTGACTGGGATTTCACGGGGTGGTTATCAGAGAGCACAAGGTCTCAGTGTTACTAGAAAATATAAGGAGAAACCCTCTCTCCCCTGGGCATTATTACAGGGAAGGTAACATCTAACTGTAACCAGCAGCTGCTAAATCTTTATGTTGTGAAGTGTGAGGGTCCTGCATTGTTTGAGAGATTCAGCTGGCCTGCCATGGCAATACACACACCCCTGCAGCGTTAAAGAACTGCGGAGCTCTGGACTGATACGCAAACGAGTGGAACTTTGGGACAAGGAAGCTGATGGCATCGGGAAACAAATGAGGATGCTGGAAGAGAGCGAGTGATTTGGAAGTTGTGCAAAGCTCACCCAGTATCTTTGGCGACACGGCCAAAGGGAGAGGCAGAATTTCCACTCTTTGAGGGCGCTGGAGTTCCAGCCAAGGAGCCCCTGAGAGAGCCAGCAGTGAAATAAATGGGGTGTCTAGAACCGGTGTGATTTCAAGATTATCCTTCACCATCGCTGCATGCAGATCAGTGTCCTTGGCCTCGAATGGAGGCAGTCTTTGCCTCGTTAGCCAATGAGAAGCATTTCTTCAGGACTGACCTCGTTCAAGCCTGCCTACAAATGGAGGCTGGAGGCAGTGCCGAGAAGAACCTCACAATTAATTATCACACACAAGGGCTTATTTCAGTCTAACCGGCTGGTGTTTGCAATAATGGCCGCACCTGCTGTTTGGCAGGGAGCCCTGGAGCAGGTGCCACAGGACACGGCTGGCACTCCGTCTCATGAGGATGAGAGCGTGGGGGGGCCCCCCAAAGCTCTGTGTGATGCTGGCTGAGCAGAGGCAGAGAGAAATGGAACCTTTCCAAGATTCAGCTGCACGGCGTGGACACATCTGACAGGGAGCCAGCTGCAGCAGAGTCAGTCAAGACATTGGACACGGCAAACCCTAGCAGGGGCTGACCAGTTGACGGCCCTTCCTGACTGGTGGTTGGGTGGAGCTAGCTACTGCTTGACCCCGCTGCAGCCAGTGCTCGTGGTTGCTCAGCACCTTCCCTGCCTGCAACTGCGTTTGGTCCTGCCCCAGGGCCGGCCCACAACATTTTGGCACCTGAGGTGGGGAGCTCAAATGACACCCCTTTGCTTGGGCCAAAACTCTGAAAGGTCTCAATTCTGCCTTCTTCCTGTTCTACTCCTCTCATGGTACTGCTCTGCTACCTACCCCAATAAAGAACTAACAACTTAAAATGCTGTGTTCAAAAATTTTAAGTAACACTTACATTTGCTGTTCAGGCATTTGAAAGTTAATTTTTCTTGTCTGCGTAGTAAACACTGGCATTTTTATCTGTTTGAATAATCAAAGTGGTGCTTTCCGTGCCTTCTTGGTTGCAAAGATTTGAACTGCTTCCTGAAGGTCCACAGTCTGGGCCAGCTTATGCTCTATTGAGATGGTTGCAAGGCTGACCAGCCTCTCCCGTGTCATTGTGGAGCGTAGATGTGTTTTTATTAACTTCAGCTTGGAGAACCTGCGTTCTCCACTGGCAACTGTTACAGGAAGTGTTAGAAGTATGCGCAGTGCAACAAAAGCATTTGGAAAGAGGGTGGTCATCTTATTTGTGCACACATATATTCCAGAACAGCCTTTGGAGTTGATCCTGCTGAAATGTATTTTGAAAGGGCTTTCAGTTCATCACCTAAATCACTTGCATCAATACCGTGCATGTCATCATGTGTCAACACTGTCTCCAGTGCCCTGCATTGCTGGTGTAGGTCGTCTTCAGGTATACTGAGGAGTTTTGGAATATCATACAACATCCCAAATATACTGCTGTGTTCCTTGAGCTGCATGAAAGATTCTTCAACTGACTCTATTGCACAATCTAGCACCTGGTTAAAGAATTCAACTTTGAATTGTTGTTTTGGAGTCTCTTATGGGATTATCCCGTGCCTCATAATCAAAATGTCTTCTTCGGTGACTCTTGAATGGGTGGGAAAATAGCTTCAGTGTGAAGTTCCTCTGCCAACTTCTGTGCACTCTTCAGAACGTTTTGAAATCCGTCATCTGACCGGTAAGACTGTAGGTATGACTTTGCTTTGTCCAGTTGTTACATTGCTCCAGATATACCAAGGTCAACACCTTGGAGTCTCTTGCTTACAACAATTTATTTCAAACAGTATGTCATGCCACAACGCTAAGCCACACAGAAATTTGAAGTTATGTATACTTCTGGTGATTCCATTTCCCTCTGCCACTGTTCTCCCACGAACAGTTCCTGTCATAGCATTATCCTCCATAATGGCAACTATGGCATCATCTATCTTCCCAATTTGGTGTTTGATAGGCTTTATCGCCTCCACTTGACTTTCCCAGCATGTGGTACTCAGTGGTTTCAGAGTCAGAGAGGATGTTCTCCGATGTCGCTTCAAAATTTGCCATCAATGAGTTGATGCAGAGAAAAATACATAGATGCTTTGAAGTTACATTAAAAAATTCAGCAGCCTCACAAGAAGCTGATGCTGCATCACTGACCACCAAGTTCAATGAATGAGAACTGCATGGGATAAAAAAAAGCTCGAGGGTTTAACTCTTGGATCCGTGTCTGCACTCCTCTGTTCTTTCCTCTCATGTTGGACCATTATCGTAACCCTGACCTCTCATGTCCGCTATCGCAATTCCCGTATCTTCCAGCTTTTTAAGAAGCACATTTGTCATACCAGTTCCTGTAGTATCATCAATGTCAATAAATTCTAGAAAATGCTCTCTGACAGTCACCATTGCAGGGACACTTTCACTAGGTTCTGTTGTTACAAAACGCACCATTAAAGTCATTTGTTCCGTATGGCTGATGTCAGGTGTGCAGTCCAGAATAACAGAGTAATATCTTGCTGACTTCAGATCTGCCACAATCTTCTGTTTGACTTTTGTTGCCAGTAACTGTATGATCTCATTTTGAATTGTTTTTCCAAGGTAGTGGTGTGTGTACATTTCTTGGGTGGTGACTCTTCTTAGATGCTCCTGGAGTACAGCATCAAACTCCGCCATCAGCTCCACAATTTTAAGGAAGTTTCCATTGTTTGGCACATACAGCTGATCTGAAGTGCCACGCAGTGCTAGGTTTTGGGTAGCAAGCATTCTCACAATGCTATGATTCTAATGGCAATGAGCCTTTTCAGAACATTTTGCCAGTAAAGAGACTCTGATGCAATCTTCTCTTGATGCTGATCATCTATGATGGCTTTTAACCTTAGTCTCATCTCAAGCTCTTTCCACCTATGGAATGCTCTCTGGTGATTTGTTGCCTTCTCATGGCATGCCAGATTTCTAGCCAGATTTTTCCAGTCCTTTGTTCCTGTAGAACCCAATGTGGCTGAAACATTAGACTGGAAGAGTTTGCAACAAAAAGAGTATGCAGCATTCTGGGTTTTTGAGTACTGTGATAAACTCAGGACAGACAGCTGCAAGGGGGGTGGGTAGAAAACAGTCTCGGAGGATTAAAAGGCCCTCCTTCCTATCAACTGAGGAGGAGTAACTACAGGTCAATCAGATTCAGCTGAGAAGGGGCTACCAGAGAATCAATTAGGATCAGCTGAGAGGGAGTTCCCTGAGGTAATTAGGATCAGCTCATTCCAACTAAGTGCTGCCTGAGTCCTTTTTAAACCCTGTTGGGAGGAGAGGGGAGAGAGAAGGAGTCCTGCTGCCAATAGGTTAGGAGCAGCAAGACAGTGAGCCTCTCCAGAGGGAGAAAAACAAGCTAAAAAGACTGGTGGAGAGAAGGAACGGACTTCCCCTGTGCCACGAAGAGGGACTATTTTACCCAAGCCTGTCTTGCCAAGGCAAAAAGCAGACGAGGCTGGTGAGCCCGAGAAGGTACCTTGTCACACGTGGTGTCGAGTGGGATGTGTGAGTGAGACTTTGTGGAAAACCATCTCAG